AAAAATTAACTCAAATGGTTCATAAATTAACATGTAAGATGTTAAGTTATAAAATTTTGAGAAGAAAACATAGGAGAAAAATCTTTGGGACCTGGGGCATGGTAGCAAAAGCATCATCCTTAAAAGAAAAAAAATGATAAATTGGACTTCGTTAAAATTAACAACTTTTAGTTGGTGAAAGAACTGGTAAAGATGAAAAGACAAGCTACCGACTGGAAGAAAATATTTGCAAATCACATCTGACAAAGGATTCTTATCTGGAATATATAAAGAATGCCAAAATTCAACAGTGAAAAAACAATCCAATTTGAAAATGGGCAAAGGACATGAAGAGGCATTTCACCAAAGAGATTACACAGATGGTAAACAAGCACATGAAAAGATGTTAGTGCCTTACTAACACTAATTATTAGAGAAGTGGAAATTAAGACCACACTGTTAGAAGAGTGAAAAGAAAAAAATACAATTCCAAATGGTAGTAAAGGTGTCTAAAAGCTACATCTCTGATAAATTAATTGTTGGTGGGAATATAAAATAATATATCCACCCTGGAAAACAGTTTCATAAAAAACTGAATATGCAACTACATACAACCCAGTAATTGCACTCCTGGGCATGGATCTCAGAGGAATGAAAAGTTATACCTGCACAAAAACTACACACAAATGTTCATAGCAGTTTTTTAATAGCAGCTTTATTTGTAATGGCAACTATCTGGACAACCAAAATATCTTTCAATAGGTGAATGTCTAAAAAGAAACTGTACAAAAACAAACAAACAAACAAACAAACTGTGCATTTATATCACAGAATCTACTCAGATATAAAAAGCAGCAGCTGGGTTTCCCTGGTGGTCCAGTGTTTGAGAATCCACCTGCTGATACTGGGGACATATGATAATCCCTTCCTTCACATCTTTTACATATAATGTGCACAAGTCCCCACACTAACACACAGTATTAGTAACACAAACTTATTGCTATGAACAGCAATTGATGATCCAGTGCTACAGTCCATGGGGTTGCAAAGAGTTGGACATGACTGAGCGACTGAACATAACTGAACTAGTACATCCTGGTTTTTCCCTCTTAAGGACCAAAGTTCCAAATACTTTTGATTTCCAGAGGAAGGTAGGCTTAGACCAGGTTTATTACATCTCTGACAACTCCTTAAAAAAAAAAAAAATTTCTTTGTGCTGAGTCTTAGCTGCAGCATGTGGGACCTAGTTCCCTGACCAGGGATCGAACCCAGGACCCCTGCATTGGAAGAATGGAGTCTTAGCCACTGGACCACCAGGGAAGTCCCTGAACTATTTGATTAATGTTCTTTATCTTCCCCATATTCTTGCTTACTTCCCTACCACAAGGCTTAAAATATCACATATAAGAAAACAGTTCAGTACCAATTGCCATCCACACCAATAAGTTTGTATTACTAATATCGTGTGTTAGTGTGGGGACTTGTGTACATTATACATAAAAGAAGTGAAGGAAGGGATTATCACTGCTTAACTCTGGGGATACATATCAACTCTTACATAGAATGATTTCCAGTAAAGTGGTTACAATGAATGTACTTGTAGTCTATGAATAATATCAGTGCTTTTAAAGGGTTAACCTTTAAGCACATGAAATATTCACAAAGTCAAAACAAATATAAGTACCCTTGAGTGTCTTATCTGCTTTCTCAGCTTAAAGGATAAGAGAGACTCTGTCAGAGTTTTTCACCCTTCCTTTCATTTATTCAACAAATATTTATTGAGACAAATTTTATTGAGTGCCTGTGAATGCCAGGCACTGATCACCAAGATAGTGCCTTCCTTAAGTAAAGACGAGTCAGAAAAATTGTAATGAAGAAATTATGTCACAGTAAGATGAGGTCAGGCAGTCTTTCATGGGGGAGATTTTGGGGTTGAGTCCTTTACGGCTAGAAGGAGTTAAAGAGAATGGGCTGGTGGTAGGGACAAGCTGCAAATGGGGTGGGGCAGATGGAGGCTGTGAGCAAATTTGAAGCTGGAAATACTTTCAAGTCCAAAGACAGAAGGTGGAAGAGTGCTGGCCTGGTTTTACTTCCAGCATCTTTTTCTAATTACACGGTGCTGCTGGCCCCCTGCTCCACCTAGAGGAGGTGTGGGATCACACAATGGCGGGGACTTGAGAGCGAAAGGGCAGGACTCTAGCCTTGGCCACTGGAGTAGATGTTTGATTTTGGGTAAATTGCTGAAGTTCTGTGTGCCTGTTTGCTCATCTGTAAAATGGGGATAGTAACACCTCGATTAAATGAGAGACTGGAAGTCAAGCTCCTCAGTTCATTCAGATCTCCTTTCCCCCTCTCCTTGGCTTTAGTTGGTTTGAATATTCTATTTTCTTCTTGCAACTTCCCATTGCTCCTCTAATCTCTATCTTGCTCTACTTTTTCTGGCATCCACTCTAAGAGGGCTGACTATGGGGGAGCGGTGCATCAAGCGTGGCTGGCGAGGAGCAGAAGCTTACAGTAGTTTAGAAAATCGCTCCAAGTGCCTCTTTCCAGCCCAACACCCCGCCTCCCTCTCCCCTCTCCTCCCCTCCCCTCCCCCTCCTCTCTGGAACTGCGGCTCCCAGGGATCCTGGGCTTTTGTTCTCTAGAGGCTTAAACTACCACCTGTTTTGCCCTGACTTATTGTTTAAAGAGAATCATTCCTTGTCTACAGGCTATCAAAAATCAAAATTGCAAAAAAAAAAAAAATCAAAATTGCGAGATCTTACAGACAGCAAGAGCTAAGTTTGTACTTTCTCTCTCTTTTCAATACTGACACTAAAACATCAATGCTTTCTTATTTTCCCTCTATTTTCCATTTCTTTTCTGAGAATCTCCTGGCTCCCAGTAACCACTCCCTCTTTACTTATTGATACTATCATAAAGGGTTAATATAAATTATCTTTTAATATTAATTGTAATTTATTTATTAATATATACCTGTCTTCCCTACTTGATATTAAGTACCTATGGTCTGTAGTGTCTTCTACAGCAGTAGTTTCTCAGACTTGAATATGCCTAAGAATCTTATTATGGGGATCTTGTTAAAACACAGATTCTGATTTAGCAGGACTGGGGAGGGGCTGAGTTTCTTCTAACAACTTCCAGGTGAAACCCCTGGACCACACACTTGAAGCTGCAAAGCCTCCCTGGATTTAGAACAAAGGGGGTGCACATGAAATGGTTGCTGGAGGATGCCTTGGTCTCCCCTACTCAGTGCTTGGAATTTTTCTTCAATACATCTTTCTCCACTTTTTCTGGTGCACTATTTATGACTAACTGACAATTATTTCTTTGTGTACTTAGCTGTGCCCTTCCTTCCCTTTTTCATAGTCAACAGTCTCGTCCAGAAACCAGTCACTTAGGGAATACAACAGAAATCTTCAGCCTTTTTCTACTGTCATCTGCTTTGTAGCAAGCAAGGTTAACTTTTTAAGGAATCATCCTTACCTTTGTTGCTGAGTAAACCATAGTAGCTCCCTGGTATGTATCATATCAAACTCAAATTTAGAATGAGAAGCTTCAAAACATGCCTCCAACCCTTCCCTCTCCTTTGCCACTCAAGTTTCTCTTTTGCAGCACATGGAGCCCTCTGCATATTGCTGAGGTATGAGTCAGTCTCCTGCAAGACATTTTTGCATTGGGAATGTCTTCTTTCTTTTTAAAGGTCAATGCATATCTCTTAAAAATTCTCAATTTTTACCTACTTAATATGAAGCATTATTTGATTTATTCCCAATTGTGAGTTCTTTGTTTAAAGGAGTATGAGCTATGTACTATTATTTATATATTTAATATTTTTACACTTTTTTCATATTTTCATTTAGTTGTAAATGAGAACTGTCCGTACTTCTTGTTCATTGTTCTATCCTTAGCATCTAAGAGTGCTTGAGACTCAGTAGGCACTTTGGGTAGGGGGACCCTCAGTGAAGGATGAAACAAAATTTAAGATCAGTTTGTACTAGTTTTCAAAATGCTTTCATTGCTACATTTATTGGGAACCTGGGTGAATGTTAATGGTTAAATAAGAAAATTCTGGTGTAGTTCTGATACAGTAAAAATATTAAAATATCAACTTACATCAGAAGGCTGGACTTAATTACAACCAACTTATTAAAAATGTATTGGCTAAAGGATTAAAAAAAATTTAGAAATCCTTTGAAGAGTATTTTGAGAGAGAAACATTTGAGGTTTAGTACCACCTACCAGCTACCATTTTACTAGGAAAATAAAATTTAGATGCAGCCAAAATATAGTAATGCCCAAACCCACATCCTATCTAAATGGCTTATGCTTTCCTGTCATTGTTTTCTAGCCTGCAGGTTTTGCATTCGTTAGGATTTCATATTTCTTAATAGTTCTTGGTGCTTTAAATTTAAAAGAAATGGGGCTTTCTCATATTACAATTTCAAGGAAAAGGAGACTGCAGGGCCCCTTCAGCGAGGTTTAAGAGGCCTGCAAGCTGCACACCGTGCAACTGCCTCATGCTCCGATTTCATCTATGGGTTTTTGTACAGTTCTTTTTTGGATGGTGCACACAGCGCAAGTGCAGCATTAAAAACCTCTCCACCCTGGGAAACGACGCAAGAACACGCAGCTTTCGGCTGCCAGGTTCTCTCTAAGACACAGCCAAGGGCTGGAGGCCCGGACACCCGCCCCCAAAGCCCGTCCACAACAATCGTTTCCTCCCTCCCCGCCTTTTACATACAGTACACATACAAATACACACACGCAGAGCAGCCAGCAGGGGCGGGCCGGGCCCGACCACTCCGCAAACCGCAGGGGGGAGCCACAGCGGGCCGAACTGTTTGCCTCCACTTCTTTGTTCCTCCGCACCCGTCTCTCTCTCCATCAGGCTGCAAACGTTAGGAAAAAGCGAACTTGAGGATGTAGGGTCTCCTGAAGCTCAGCGTCTGGTTACACAACTTTGGCGGGTGCTGCGTTATCCCCCCCTCCTTCGGCGAGCAGTTGGTCCCGCCCCACTGCTAGCGGGCGCCGAGCGGGAGCCGCGCGGGAGCAGCGCAGCGACGGCGGCGGCGGCGGTTGGTATTCGGAGCCGTTGGGACGCCTCTGCGGCAGCTGGTGGCGCAGGTGGCTTGCGTGGACGCGGAGAGAGGCGGCCGGCCCGCCACCGCAGCCTCGCCGCCCGCGGCCCCAGCAGGTGAGCGGGCGGCGGGGACTCGCCCCGCCCCCCCCTCGGTGGCCTCACTCCTGGCTCTAGCTGGGAAGTGGCCGCGGCCCGCCGGGGAGTCGAGGTTCGGCCCGGGGCTGCGACCGTCGGGAAGGAGGCTGTGGGAGAGGCCGTGTGTGGATGGAAGGGCAACGTTCCCCTGCCTTTTGCCATCTTTTTTCTCCCCCCTCCTCCTCTCGCCGACCTCCCACCCTCTTGGGGCTTCAGCTTCGGGGGGAAAAAAGACCGAGGAAGGATGGGGCGGGAGAAAGGGGAAGGGGGGACTAAGAAGCATCTCTGCCTCAGGTGGTGGCGTCTTTCCGGCCGTCGAGCCGTGGACCTTGCGAAGCCTGGAGGGGCAGCTCTCGGGCTGCGGAGGCCGCGCACTCGCGGGGGAGGAGCGGGAGGCGGCTCTCCCCCTCCCCCTCCCGCCCCCCACCCTTACCCCTCCTAGGGCCTCCCCTCCCCCTCCCCCGGCGTGCCCCGTACGGCCCCTCCCTTCGGGTTTCTGAGCTTGAACCGCCTTCGGTTCTCTTCCCTCGCAGGCGCGTCGGGGCACCCCGAGGCATCCTCCCCCTCCCGCCACCGCGGGAGCCGCGGCTCCGGTCCGACCTCCCGCATCCTCTCGCAGTCCGCACCGCCGCACCTCCTCCCTGGGCTTCGGACCCTCGGCCTCGCCCCTGAAACATGACTCGCGACTTCAAACCTGGGGACCTCATCTTCGCCAAGATGAAAGGTTATCCTCATTGGCCAGCTCGAGTAAGTGATTTTTAGCCTTCGCGTTTAGCGGTGCTACCTTCCTCAGAGGCCTACTTCCTACCCTTTTCTCTTACCCCCCCACCCCGCCTCGTATCCTTTCTCTCTCTCGCTTTCCTCTAGTCTCATTTGTAACCTGGTCTTTTTAGTTTTTTGCCCATTAATCTTCCATGTAATTTAAAAATCCAGGTGTTTTGGCATACTTAGGTGTTTTCCTATGGTTGTTGATTTGGCAGGTTTTCTTAATAGGAAATATTTAAAGATGATGCCATTAATGTTCCATTGTAGGTGAAAACAAATACGGATTTTGTGTTTTAAAAAAAAATTGGGGGCTTCCCTGTTGGCTCAGACGGTAAAGAATCTGCGACATTTTCTTAATTTTGAGTAAAATCCAAAGTAGCACTGGAATCTATGCAAACTATTGGGTGTCAGAAGGTTGTATGGGATTAAATTGAATTCATAGGTATTCTTTCCTGTTTTATAGTTAATGAGGCCTTCTGGATTGACTGGTTCAATGAAAGCTAGGACTGGGTATTCTGGAAAATTTTACAGTAAGGTAGCATCAGAGAAAGTCTAGAAAATTCATTTTCAAGTTCTTATTGGTGAAGTTTGCCTTATGACCTTGAAGAAGTTGTTTCACCTCTGATTGTCTACCATAGGTGAAAGAGTAAACCCACATTCCTTGGTTCACGTGTAGTACAGAGAAGTGATTCAGAACTCAGGGTTTTTTGTGACATTTGGGAATTGAGACTGTCTTTTAAAAAAGCACCATTTTCAGGAAAAGATCTTTTAGTTTATGGTAGGACTCAGGTTCTAATATAGTGATAGAACCTGAAAAAGGTTGAATTCAGTAAGCTCAAGAGCCTTTTTAAATATACACATGATATTCTAAAGCTGTAATTTCCACTAATTTACTTTTTCTTGAGGAGTGTGTTTCTTAAAGATAATTAAATCCTGTGGTTTTAATTATGTCAGCTGGGAGGAAAAATAAGCCAGTGGTTACAGAGAATCATGGAGTTGCTGAGTGCTGTCCAAGTGTAAAATGTTCACCATTTCTTAATTTTTCCCATCCAGCTGTTAAGTCAGGTTTATAGATTTCATTCCAACCTGGAAAGAATTTTTTCCCCCTAGTCTATTAAGTCTACCTTTTCAGTTGGAGTCTTAGTGGAAAAATTCTTAATCATAATTCTTATCTGTATATTTGACACTTTATTTCCTTTGTGATCATCTTATTTTAACTCTATGTGCATTCTTTGAATTCCAAATGGATTGTAAAGTTCTCAGACCAATAGATGTAAACTGAATTTCCTTATCATACCTCCCATCCTTAGTACATAGGTCATGTACTAAAAAACTATCTCATGTTTAAGTGGAGGATAGGCAAACTGAGAAGGTTTAAGGCTCCCCCCAAGATAACGTTTTTTGTGGTTTGAGCATGATTATTTTGAAGTGTTAGAAAATCTGAGGTTATGGGATACATCTTCATTCAAATTTCTGTGTAGCAGTATAGTTTAAAACCAAATGGAAATGTTTTAAAAATTACTCTTCTAAATCATTTTCCCCACATGGTTCAGTCTGTTAGGTGACTAAAAGTGCTAATAAAAACAAAATAAAGTAGCATTAGGAGGGCCAGAGTATATAGATGCTGTATATACCAATTTAATTTGTATTGAAATGGAAAATTTTAGTCTCTTTTACCCTTTTTTTCTTAGAAACGGTTGCATTTAGATTTGATATTGTCTGTGTCTAAGAATTGTATTCATTTTTCTATCTTCTCTCCAATCTTCCGAATTCTAAGTCTTTGCTTTAGAGAGTTTAGAGTATATATTTAAGGTCTCAGCTGGGAAAGTGACAACCAGTGTTCCAGTTTTGATTTTAACATTTTCTGTTTATCCCAAGCTTCATTACTTTTTAAGTCTTGTGCTTTCTTGTAATCTTGTACCAGTAATAATAATTTTTAAAGTCCACTTTTGAAAAATTGCCTTGGTTTATTAAACTCTGTAGGTGCTAGACATTTGCATTAACTTTTAAAGCTGTTTGCTGGCAGAAAGCATATGATCTGAGATGACAGGAGTATCCATTATCTTAAGGCCTCTAAGGATTTTTCACAATTTGTGACAAAGCTGAAAAGACAGTACAGTCTTATTCGTATAGGTGAGGAGATTAAGTCCCTAAGGGTGTTGGGTGCTAATTTTTCTTATTGATGGCTGAAACCTTCAGACTGCCAACCAGTGAAATCACCCTCATGGGCTTTTCTTAAACCATTTCTTTATGTTCATACATAAGGAGCATAGTAGGTCTTCTGTTGGTCGTACCCTTCTTAACAAAGTCAACAGATATTTTTTAAATTGACATGTCTTTGAAATTTTGAAAGGAATGAAATAGAAATTGTATTATGAAATTTAAGTAAATAATGAAGTAGAAATGTTAAATTCTGGCTAAATACTTCTGTCTGATGGCCTTAACTCTGGTAAGAAAGTAACAACTATTATAGATGTGTTCGACATAGCAGTACCTGTTACCGTCTTCCTTCCTTAATTAGAAGCATTAAAATGTTAAAAGAAAAATGAAAAGGATAGGTAATCTCCTGTTACTCAGCCACGTAGGTCTAAGATGTTTTCATAAGTATATGTTTCAGACTTGGAAAAGTATTGCTTTAACCTTTTTAATGTCTGGTTTTACATTACTCCGGTATTTGGATAGCCAGTCTGCGGAAATAGCATTTAAAATTTTTGAACAGATTCAGAGTTCCTTATCTGGAGTACTTAGGGCCAGGTTTATGTGAACATTCAGAATTTTGGGGTTTTAGAATGGTAGTGATGGTCCACATACAATACATCTTTCTGCTGATAAGGTCTAGGATGGCAAATGATAATCTAACATGACATTTCTGCAGAGAAGCATCAGTAGAAATGCTAGATGGATAAAAGAAATGATGGAGAATAGCTTCAGTTTCCATGCAGGTTTTGCTATCACATGAGTTTTGAGAAATATATTGGTTTTCAGAGCTTTTTTTTTTTTTCAGAGCTTAAGTTTCAGAACTAGAGATAAGGGATTGTGGACCTGTAGAACTGGTCCATTTCATAGCAGGTACCCTTTTGGATTTCTTGTTTTCAGTTTACTCTGGCATGTTTACGTGTGTATGATTTAAAAGATTTTAATTTTTCTGATTTTGTTTTTTTTTTTTTTTTTTAGGTAGATGAAGTTCCTGATGGAGCTGTAAAACCACCCACAAACAAATTACCAATTTTCTTTTTTGGAACTCATGAGACGTAAGTCCTTTTAGCTCTGAAGGCAAATCAGAGTTAATTTAGCAGGTTCATTGGGTATATAATGAAAAGCAAGTACGGGTTAATTAAGAGAGAAAATAATAAAGTAACAGAAAACATTAAAATCATCTTTGAACTTGGAAAGACGTCTTCAAATTTCCCTTTTAAATTTATTTTTATGTTAAATTAGACACTGCAGGTTTAACTTTTACTGGCGCAGATGTCCTTAATCATAAAAGGTGTCAATTGATCCTCTCAGCAGTCAGAAAATAACCAATGGATGAGAAAGTGTGTAAGGAAAGTTTTAACAAGGTGTTCAGTATCCATGTTTAGTGTAATTAGTGCCTTTTGTAATGATAACCTGACACTGTATTTTAGACTTTGTGATTTTAGCCACACTAATGGTATGTTGTGGGAAAGGTGAAAGGAAATCTGAGTAGTTCCTTCCGTATGTATTTGTATGATTCTGGGAGCCACTGTTACTGTTCTGCTGCCCCTGGTGGATTTCTGGGCAGAAGCTGATTTGGAGAAGCAAATTAATTTCTCAGAAATTGTAGCTGAATACTGAACTGTTTCTTCTATGTGTGGAGGATTACTCCAGGGGCTATTTCATTAATTCTGAAAAATGATATTACCACATGCCTATATTTTAATAGCTTTACAAGTAGCATATAACCTCACCAGTTTTGAACTTTAGGTTTAGAATTTGCAATAATTTTGGTAGACTTGTTTACCTGGGTTCAGGTTAAACAAAACTGGTGCTACTCTAGTTAAAATTATATGTTCCTGAAGTGTGTCTACAATAACAGTTTAACATTGCTTACTACTGTATGAACTTCAAAAATTTTTTTTTCCATTCAAAAAATTTCTAAAAATAGCTTTATATGTACTTTACATCATACAGTTGTGTAAAGTGTAAAATTTAGTGGGTGTTAGTATATTTACTTCCATAACCATTAGCAGTCACTCTTCGTTTCCTGTCCCTTAGGCCTAGATACCCACTAGTTTACTGTCTGTCTAAACTTGCCAATTCTTGACATTTCACATTAATGACATCATGCAGTGCCACATAATTGTCTTCTTTAAAATCCAGTTTGGGAAAAAAAAAATCCAGTTTTGAGAATTGTGTTGGCCTTCACCATGATTACTTTGAGTATAAAAATTTGAATATACTTTGAAAATAAAAATTTAATTAAAAAAAATTTTTTTTTAATGAGTTTCTGATTATCTGGGTTAATCTACCATTTAAAACTTCCATAAATTTAATAGGGAAGGTAACTTTTAATGAAAAATTGTGTAGTCTCTATTGGAATAAGGGTTTTCAAAGTGTGGTCCGAGGTCAAGCTGCTCCCTACATGGGAACAGCACATTTGAACTTTAGATAGGCATGCAAATTCCTGGACCTCACCCACCTAAGATTCACTGAATCAGAAATGGAGGAGTGGAGCCCAGCAGTCTGTTTTAAGTAGTCTTCCAGATAATTCAAACGCATGCGAAGATTGAATACTAACTATATCAGAGTAATGTGAGTTAGACATTCCGTAGAATTTCTATATATCCTTATAGTATTATAGACCTGGAGAAGGAGATGGCAAGGAGAATTCTGTGGACACAGAAGCCTGGCAGGCTACAGTCCATTTAGTTGCAAAGAGTTTGACACGACTGAGTGACTAACACATAGTCATTCTTATGTTAAATTTAGAAGAATGAGCATCCCTTCCTCAACATTTAAAAATGAGGATTTTTATGTTGTAAACATCTATAGATTATAAATCAAAACAGACTATGCCAAAGAACTAAATTTTCATAAGCATCATTTGGTTAATAACATAACAGTGGTATTATTAAGTGGGAAATGAAGATGGTGAATTACTAATATTCAAAAATTAGAATATATTCAGGAAATTAAAATTAAGCTAATGATATTAAATTTTCATTTCAAAATGCACTTGTAGTTTTTGTGCCTCAGTGATCTCATAAGTACACCTTTGGAAAGGCAGTGCTCTTGTATCTATTAGTCTGGTGACTTAATGTTTTGGTATTTAAGGTTAATCTTTAGAAACTGAATTGCAGTGAGTGTTTGCCTTTTTCCCCCTCAGAATTTGGGAAGGCGGTTATTTGAACCTTTCTGTTTGGAATTTGCATAAGTTGGAGTTTAATCCAGGAGCCTGTAGTTAGGAAGATGGGAAAGGAAGAACATGGAAAAAGAAATGACAATTAGAAAACTAGATACTCATAAAAGTGAAAAGTAGCGTTAGTCACTCACTTATGTCCAGCTCTTTGTGACCCCACAGAGCCTGGCAGGCTCTCCTGTCCATGGAATTCTCTGAGCCACCAGGGAAGCACAGTTATTTGTAACTGATTTGTAAATAAGATTTTTTTTTTTATTGTGAAGTTAGAGCAGAATCCGTTTGTAACTGCATTTGTTTCCTGAGCTACAAACATTTGATTTTTCGTGATTTTTTATGCCTTTCATAGTTAATTTATCTGCAGTGGCACCCCACTCCACTACTCTTGCCTGGAAAATCCCATGGATGGAGGAGCCTGGTAGGCTGCAGTCCATGAGGTCGCTAAGAGTCAGACACCACTGAGCGACTTCACTTTCACTTTTCACTTTCATGCACTGGAGAAGGAAATGGCAATCTACTCCAGTGTTCTTGCCTGGAGAATCCCAGGGATGGGGGAGGCTGGTGGGCTGCCGTCTGTGGGGTCGCACAGAGTCAGACACGGCTGAAGCGATTAGCAGCAGCAGCAGCAGTTAATTTATCCACCAAAGTTGTGAACACTATATAACAGTAAGCTCTTATATATACCAAACATGATGGTCTGCTAGATGTCTTAAAACTAATATATTGAAAACAGATTCTTAGTAAATGAGACTGATGAAGATGCTGGAGCCAAAAATCTTAGTGTTATCCTTGATTTCTTATTATAGTTTATCTTTTTCCTCCCCACATCTAGTCAGTCAGCAAGTCTTAATTCTTTTCCTTTAACATGTATTCTGATCTGCTTTTTTCCATCTCCTCTATGGCAAAAGTTCATGTCACAGTTACTTGTACAAATAGTGTCCTGTCCCTATCTTGGGCTCAGCTTTCACTCTTCATATATAGTCAGAGTGATCTTGATATTTCAGTCAGATCATGTCATTTTCTCTGTCCAGAGCCTTTCAGTGACTTCCTTGTTAACATTACCAACAGACAAAACCCCCCAAATTCTGTCTATAAATGCTGTTGTTAAAAAATGCTTACTTTTTGGCTGTGCTGCAAGGCATGTTGGAATCTCAGTTCCCTGACCACAAATCAAACCTGTGCCCCCTGCATTGAAAGCACAGTCTTTTTTTTTATTTTTTATTTTAATTGGAAGCTAATTACTTTATGATATTGTTGTGGGTTTTGCCATACACTGACATGAATCAGCCACAGGTGTACATGTGTCCCTCATCCCGAACTCCCCTCCCACCTCCCTCCCCATCCCATCCCTCTAGGTTGTCCCAGTGCACTGACTTTGAGTGCCCTGTTACATGCATCAAACTTGGACTGGTCATCTATTTCTTTTAACTTTCACGCATTGGAGAAAGAAATGGCAACCCACTCCAGTGTTCTTGCCTGGAGAATCCCAGGGACGGGGGAGCCTGGTGGGCTGCTGTCTATGGGGTCGCAGAGTTGGACACGACTGAAGTGACTTAGCAGCAGCAGCAATATATATGTTTCAGTGCTATTCTCTCGAATCATCCCACCCTTGTCTTCTCCCAGAGTCTAAAAGTCTTTTCTTTCTATTTGTGTATCTTGCTGTTTTGCGTATAGGGTCGTCGTTACCATCTTTCTAAATTCCATATATATGTGTTAATATACTGTATTGGTGTTTTTCTTTCTGACTTACTTCACTCTGTATAATAGGCTGCAGTTTCATCCATTAGAACTGATTCATATGTATTCTTTTTAATAGCTGAGTAATAGTCCATTATGTATATGTACCACAACTTTCTTAACCATATCCACTCATCTGTCGATGGACATCTAGGTTGCTATCATGTCCTAGCTCTTGTTAACAGTGCTGAGTGAACGTTGGGGTACATGTGTCTCTTTCAGTTCTTGTTTCCTGTGCCCTGCAGTGGGATTGCTGGGTCATATGGCAGTTCTATTTCCAGTTTTTTAAGGAATCTCCACACTATTCTCCATAGTGGCTGTACTAGTTTGCATTCCCACCAGCAGTGTAAGAGGGTTCCCTTTTCTCCACACTCTCTCCAGCATTTATTGCTTGTAGACTTTTTGATAGCAGCCATTCTGACCTGCATGATATGGTACCTCATTGTGGTTTTGACTTGCATTTCTCTGATAATAAGTGATGTTGAGCATCCTTTCATGTGTTTGTTAGCCATCTGTATGTCTTCCTTGGAGAAATGTCTGTTTAGTACTTTGGCCCATTTTTTGATTGGGTCGCTTGTTTTTGTGGAATTGAGCTACATGAGCTGTTTGTATATTTTTGAGATTAATTCTTTGTCAGCTTTGTTTGCTGTTATTTTCTCCCATTCTGAAGGCTGTCTTTTCACCTTCCGTATAGTTTCCTTTGTTGTGCAAAAGCTTCTAAGTTTAATTAGGTCCCATTTGTTTATTTTTGCTTTTTATTTCCATTACTCTGGGAGGTGGGTCATAGAGGATCCTGCTGTGATTTATGCCAGAGAGTGTTTTGCCTATGTTTTCCTCTAGGAGTTTTATAGTTTCTGGTCTTACATTTAGATATTTAATCCATTTTGAGTTTATTTTTGTGTATGGTGTTAGAAAGTGTTCTAGTTTCATTGTTTTACAGGTGGTTGACCAGTTTTCCCAGCACCGCTTGTTAAAGAGGTTGTCTTTTCTCCATTGTATATTCTTGCCTCCTTTGTCAAAGATAAGATGTCCATAGGTGAGTGGATTTATCTCTGCACTTTCTATTTTGTTCCATTGATCTATATTTCTGTCTTTGTGCCAGTACCATATTGTCTTGATGACTGTAGAAACTCAAGA